TATAGCGGAAAATTTTCGTGGCCCAAAATTTTCGTGGATTTCGCGTTTTTTTCGAAACCCACGAAAATAAAAATCCGCGAAAATTGATTTTATACGGTTTAAGATGGCCGAATTGTAGAAAACTACGAAAATTAAAGCCACGAAATTGATTTTTGGACGGATCCACGAAAATTTTGGGCCACGAAAATTTTCCGCTATACGGTACCTGTATTGCACCAACTGTGTGTATTTGGATAAGTAAACAGGTCTAGCTGAAAGTCTGTGTGACAGTTAAAAGTGTAAAATCTTCTTTTTTGTGAGCTTCTGCTGATAAAGATTAAATTAATACACTGTATTGTAGGCTATGGGTATGCTTTTATTTTGTTTGGGTTTTTCTCTTCATACTGTTGCTTTCAGGCTGGATCAATTCAAGCAATAATTTCGGCTTTTTATAATTTGTACAAAACATTCATAAAAGGGAAGGCATTATTATGTCATGTGAAAAGCTAAAGAATAAGCTGATTTCCAGACTTAAGCTGGTTCATATAAAATTAGAAGTTGCATTTGGCTAAAGACTGCTCATTAGCTTATTATTATTATCTGTTTTTTCCAAAAAATGGCTCCAAAAATCACCCCCAATTTTTATTACATTTTCTAATACATATTGATGTCCTTATGCTGTGTAGAAAGTTTGAGCTGATTCAGACTTCATTTTTTCAAGTTATGGCCATTTTTTAAAATGAGCCAAAATTCTGAGAAATACCCAAGGCTATATATAGTCCATGGTTTTTTCCAAAAAATGACTCCAAAATCACCCTAAATTTTTATCTCATTTTCTAATACATATTAATGTCCTTATGCTGTGTAGCAAGTTTGAGGTGATTCCGACTTCAATTTTTCAAATTACAGCCATTTTAAGGAAACGGCAAAATTCTGAAAAATAGCCAAGGCTAGCCCATGGTTTTTCCAAAAAATGGCTCCAAAATCACCTCCAATTTTTATTACATTTTCTAACACATATTGATGTCCTTATGCTGT